AAGAATTATTGGGCAATATATAGTATGTAGTATATATATATATAGGAATACCTGGACTGATATCTTTACATATACCATGGTACAAATTTCTAGCATCAGGCCAAAAATATTGATAAACAACACTGACGTGTTGTGAAAACAGGTACATCGTTATTCAAATGAGGAGTAAAAGTCAAGAATGGGTACCTATATTATGTATAATCCTATTTTCGACCTTTCTCAACAATGGCCGATTTTACCAGGTTGATTGAATTGGTCAAGAATAAATTTCATAAGCATGTAAAGATGACCCGCTTACTAGCTGATATGATAGTGGGAATTCACACTGAATGTACATAGACTGTGCGCAGACTTTTGTCTTTTCCGCGTCTTTATCCTACGTGAACAATAAAATTGTAAAAGCGATGTGGCTCGACGTTGCATCTATCATTCACATAGGATGTGTTCGATTAATATATATCTGAGCGCTGGGCAAGCGTTCGATAAAAGCAGTATTACATCTATCAAGTTGTTGTACAATTAATTCGTGAAATGATTGACGAATTTGTGGAAAATAGCAATTCACATCTTTCAATTTCTTCACGCGTTGCATTTGACAATTTTCAGTTTCACCCACGCAACGGAAAATAACCATTGAAGATAACTTTTATTGAATGGAAAAAGAAAACTATAAAATTAAGGCGAGTCACCTTGCTGGTAATTATCGCGGCATCAGAAACGTTTTTACAGGACGAGAGAAAAATGAGGATTGGTTGGTGAGAACGTGGCTTCAAAATAAGGAAAAGACCGGTTTAAAGCTTGCAAAAAACAATTCAAAGGAATTTCTGCTGTACAAACAGTAAGAGTCATTTTGCGATTTCTTCGGCAATTTCATATAAATTGTAATGTTGATATAATGTTGTGAGTACTCCATTTTGTTCCCTCATGAATGCTGTCATTGCCCACCTGAAGATAATGCTTCTTAGCTAACCCCCAAATTATTGAATGTTTCCACAAAAAAGTTTTTTTTACTGAAACTGAACTGTTTGAGGTCTTCGGTCATGAGTACGTTTAAAGAAACGAGAATTTTATCGAATGAGAGCCCAGTATATAATGTTGATATGGACATGAAGAAATAAATATTTCTGAAAACTCATGAATAAATTGACAAAATATAGAACAACCTATTTTCGTGAATAAATTCGCAGAGATTCATGCATTTTTTTCTTCTGAATATAAAAGAGGAAATTCGATGACAAAATATATAACAACCTATTTTCGTGAATAAATTCACAAAGAGATTCATGGATTTTTTCTTCTGAATGTAAAAGAGGAAATTCGATGACAATTGCGATCGTGAAGATATTCGCGAATTTATTGTATAACAAATTGATAGATGTAATACCGCTTCAATACAGATCTGTTTAATACAGTTCTGTTGTAGAACAATTTACCGATCCTATGTAAGAACTAAAGTTAGATGTTTGTGATTAGAAATAATAACACAAATGCCAACTTGTCATTCCAATTAGACTCGAGCATTCGTTAAATATATTTCGCTCTGCTGACTCTGTAAACACGAGATATCAAATCTGCACCTGTTTGCTCTGATCCGGAATTTTTTAAAATCGATAAAAGTTTGCCCTTGATGTTCATTCTATGTGAATTGACGCTTACTCTACATTTACTAACATTGACTTTAGTTCTACATAGTTTTATGCGCAGATGCGAAGGTCAAGTTATATTCAAGAGGACAAAAGATTAGGCCACATCGAGTTTAATTATTCGAACACCAAACTCTAGGGGACATTGACGTCCTTGATTCAAGCATTTGTACAAACCCTACTTTTCTATTTCTTCCGATTGGGAAAGTAAGAAGGGATATTCCTAAAAAGAATGAAATATAAAAGACTCAAATTTAGAAAGTATGAGAAATATGTGTATCATACGCAGACAATAAAGACGATTATATTATTATTATTATATTTTGGTCGATGCCTATAATACCTACAAGCGGGAAGAAAAGGCCCATTGATCGTTTAAAAGAATATTTATTTTTTTGATTATACACACATTATCATTTTGTAATGGAAATTAGAAAAGATATAATTCAAGGGAAACGCTATTAAAAATGAATAGTGTTATTGGAGTGTTCGTCGCATTATTTAATAACTATTACCATCAAAGTGCACCGAACGTACGTCATCAAGAATATTTCAGGTAAAAGGTGTACTCAGTTTTGAATATGAAATATTTCTGAAACTCTGCTGCACATAAACATGTATGAATTTTCTAAGTGTCACTCAGTTAAAGTGTTCTAAGATTCACAATGAATTCGTGAAATAGTTTCATTACGAAAGTTTTGTCCTTCTATTTACGGAAGAAAAATAATTGGTATTATGACGTCACGTAAACTTGACACAACCGCTGTACCTATACTTACTATCTTCCTTGGCAAAGAGTGGTGACTGTCTCTTGCGCATGCTTAATCTCACTTCTGGGCGCTTGTGCAAGTGGTGGAAGTCGAATGACGCGTTCCAAGATGGCGATACACAGGGTGTTGTGTTGTTTTTGTATGTGAACACAAAATTTGCAAATTAAGTGAAATTGAAAAAAGTGTTATTCACTCTTTTACAGTTTTTCTTGGTCGCTCTATTTCATACAATGGCGGATATCGACGAAAAAGAGTAAGTTGGTTATTTTAATGAACAAGTTTATTTAAATTTACAGTCGGACGATGTTGACGGTAGACGATGTCGTTCCATGTGTTCGCTAAGCACATGCGCAATGTTTTCGATTATTAAAAAGAATTATTGGGCATATGGGATGATGGGGCTAGGAAATTTTGGAGTACACTCGTAGTGTAGGCATTTTAATAATAAAATATACCATGGTTACCATAACTTCATGACAGTTGATAATTTTCTTAATTGCATGTATGACTATCAAAACAAACTGAACCTGAACATATTAAAAATTCTGCAGATGTCCAACTCTGGTTAGGTAATTTATTCCAACAATTTACTTTCCTTTAGTCCTAATTACTTCATAATTCAAAATAGTTTAGTTTCTGAAGATGTAGTTGATTACAGTTTTGTTCATTATACAGCTCTTGGCCATAATTATGAAACTACATATTAAGTTAGTTTTGTTAACCATATTACCGTCAACTTGTTTGTCAATAGGTTTTTTAAAAATTTTGGAAAAATTGCGTCCTTTAAAATGAATTCAATAGATTATCAGAAAACAATTTTTATAGTGGAGAAAATCACTAAAAGAGAGGACCCTACACAGATGCACTAGCAATGAGTATTCGAAAATTGATATGAAAACAGTATGTATCAAAAAATATGTAATACATATGTCATGTATATACAAACATAAGATAACAATAAATTTAAAGATTATTCCAGAGAAATGCTAATTTTGTAAAAATTTCCTATTAGCCAGAAGGCATATATACTCTTTTATGACCTAGTAACACTTCTAAAATTATAGTATTTCTGTATTTCATTTAATATCAGTTTAATAATATATACCAATTCATTGAATTTTTTTGGATTCTTCTGGTAGCTTAATGTTGAGCAAGACAGACAAAATCATTTTGTTGAATCATACTATGTATTGTTTTCAAAAATCCATGGGTTCTGCTAGCTTTAGATGCAGTACAATTTTTTGCTTTTTGTGACTACCTCAGGCACATTAAATTGAAGTTTATATAATTTTTCTAAAATAGTTTTCAACTGTGGGAAAGATAATTGATAATTTTAGTCTCATTTTAGGCTTTTATGATCCCCATTCGTCAACTTTCAAATTGCTGTAAAAAAACAGTGGGATATTATAGCTTTACCTTTAAGCTGGCAGAATTAAATTGAAATCCTTCAGCTTTTCTAAATTTTCATTTTGCAAAATATTTTTCAAATGTAGGAGACATAAAATGGAAAGTTAACAATGGGGAGAACAGAAACCCAAAATGATCCTGAAAATTTCAGTATATTTCTATCTCTTCCACAGTTGAAGAATATTTTCAAAAACTTATTTCTGCTTTTATCGTTTGTGCTTGAGGCAATCACCCACAAGAAGCGAAAATTGTTCAAGACTTTCAAATAGCTAAGGATTTTGAATTAGTTTTGCCCGCTTACAGTAAATCTCACAGTAAAAAAAACAGAAAATCGGCGATAATGAACCTAAAATTATGAAGTGATCTGATTCAACAAAATGTTTTTTTTTCTGTCATTGGGTTCTTCTAACTCAACACTGAGCTACCAAAACCCACTAAATTCGGAAATAGAGTACAACATTAGCCTAAAATTATGGCCAGAAAATAAATGTGAAAATCAACGTGACTTAGAGCTGCAACATCAATGCTTTCGTTATTGACTATTCTAGAAAGCATATTGTCTATTATTAACGTTACCAGTTTCTATGAATTTATGTTGTTACACATTTATGTTTTAAATTTCTTATATTTCCTCATTGGATGAGCAATGACCCTTGCAGATTTCCCATTTCAATCCAATCTTGGTTTTTTACAAAACAAAATTTAAAAAACTAATTAATGATAGGAGTTCAAACAGGCAAAAATCAAAAATTTGAATAATAAATCTAAGATGACAGTCACTATTTCATAATAATTTCAACATAGACATCAATTGCAGCAGTAACTATGTAGTAAAATTTCGTACCATGACTTCTTATTAGTATACAAAAATGCTCAGTTTAAACATTTCAAATAGCAATATTGTGTGTTCAGGTTGATCTTTTAGTTTGGAATTGAATAAAAATTTCAAAGAGTATATTGTTGAAAGACCTTTCTAGTAAGGTGTCTAGTAAGTTCCGTAAAGGCAACGTATATTATATTCAGGTTTAGTATGAATATTTCACCTTTGATAATTAAATATCCTTTCTTACATTTCA